CAATGCTTCTTAAGTTGTGTATCTTTAGACAGACGTCTTTGTAGTGAGTTTTAATATTTTACCTTATATTCTAACATTAAATAGTGGTAATATTTCCCTTATGTATAGCAAGTTCCATAATAATATAACGCAATCTAGCGCCGTAGAGTGCAGGTTCTACTAAATAGTGTTGGTGGTGCGGCTACTTTTACTACTACTACTACTACTACTACTACTACTACTACTACTACTACTACTACTACTACTACTACTACTGCTAATAATAATAATAATAATAATAATAATAATAATAATAATAATAATAATAATAATAATATAATAATAATAATAATAATAATAATAATAATAATAATAATAATAATAACAATAATAATAAAAAAAAAAAAAAAAAAAAAAAAATAATAATAATAATAATAATAATAATAATAATAATAATAATAATAATAATAATAATATAATAATAATAATAATAATAAAAATAATGATAATTATTATTATTATTATCATAATTATAATAAAAAGAATAAAAAATAGGTTAATTAACCTATAATGCCGACATAACTGTATGGAGTAGAGACTTGGAATGCAAGAGAGGATGAAAAGAACAACTTGAATTTACTGGGAATTAGGTGTTTGAGAAGTATTATTGGTGTATCTAGAGTAGATAGAGTAAGGAATGAGGAGGTCAGACATAGAACGGGTGTAGAAAGAAAGCTGTCAAATAGGTTTGATCAACAAGTATTAATTTGGTTTGGCTACATTTAAAGGATGAGTGACGAATGAAGGGCGAAGAAAGTTTGGAGTGCTGAAGTGGTTGGAGTAAGACCAAAAGGAAGACATAGAATTAGGTGGATGGATGGCGTGAAAAGGTCCTTGGATGCATATGCAATGTCATTGGAGCAGGGAGGAGAACGTGCAAGAGATAGGAATGAGTGGGAAATGATTGTGTATAGGTGACTAGGACCAATGTGATTTCTCGCACTTGATAGCTCAATGATGTGTGATGGAAACGTTGTGAGCGGAATTACCATGTAATGAAAAGGCGGGGATAAACAACTTGTGGTTGTTCGGGCATCACTATAAAATACCCTTGCCTGCATACCTTGTGAATGACCCAAGCAAGGTGGTAGGGGAAAATGTAGCGACCCTTTATCCCCAAGGAGCTACGAGGAGTTGAAGTATGGTGTGGATCAGGGTTAATGTGTGCTTCTTGACTCGGTCACACCTATTACATCGGGGTATGCATATTGTATATTAACCTATTTAATCAACCCAACCTAGCTAAGGCTAGTTATTCTAGGATAGTGTTTATTAACCTATTTTTTATTCAGTAAAGGAGCTATTCATGGTGCCAAAAGGGTTGAACCAAAACGGCAGCGTCAAATATTAACTGATCCTATAAATAAATGACTTGCGGAAATGTCAAGTGGCTCTTCTCGTCTCTCTGTGTTGGATGTCATTATGATGCTGATGATTATAATAACAATGACGATGACAATAAAAATAAACATTTTGAAATAAGGCCTAAATAGTCCTTCTTTTTATGATCACCGCTTTTTAAAAAGGTGTTTATCAACAAAATATGATATAAATTTCCTCTATTGCTTCATAACTTCGAAAACTATGGAATAGTTTCTGTAAAAGAGAGAGAGAGAGAGAGAGAGAGAGAGAGAGAGAGAGAGAGAGAGAGAGAGAGAGAGAGAGAGAGAGAGAGAGAGAGAGAGAGAGAGAGAGAGAGAGAGAGAGAGAGAGAGAGAGAGAGAGAGAGTCAAAGAACTATTAGATAACAATGCAGACATATGATATAACTTGTACTGAGATTTTCATCTAGTTTAATCCTACATTGTATCATTATGTTCTCTCTCTCTCTTTCTCTCTCTCTCGCTCTTTCTAAATATATATATATATATATATATATATATATATATATATATATATATATATATATATATATATATATATATATATATATATATATATATATATATATATATATATATATATATATATATATATATATATATATATATATATATATATATATATATATATATATATATATATATATATATATATATATATATATATATATATATATATATATATATATATATATATATATATATATATATATATATATATATATATAATATATATATATATATATATATATATATATATATATATATATATATATATATATATATATATATATATATATATACATATATACATACATACATACATACATACATACATACATACATACATACATACATACATACATACATACATACATACATACATACATACATACATACATACATACATACATACATACATACATACATACATACAACACACACACACACACACACACACACACACACACACACACACACACACACACACACACACACACACACACACACACACACACACACACACACACACACACACACACACACACACACACACACACACACACACACACACACAC